CTAATGTTTATGTCTTACTTTTGGCAAGACTTTTGGATGGCTTTGGAGTTGGTTTGGCCGTAACTCTGGTCCCAGTTTATATATCTGAGACTGCACCACCAGAAATAAGGGGTCTGTTGAATACCCTTCCACAGTTTACTGGTTCCATTGGAATGTTTCTTTCATATTGCATGGTTTTTGGAATGTCGTTAATGACATTACCAAATTGGAGATTGATGCTTGGAGTTCTTTCTATTCCCTCCCTCATATATTTTGGATTAACTGTATTCTTCTTGCCTGAGTCACCAAGATGGCTAGTAAGTAAAGGGCGAATGAATGAGGCGAAAATGGTTTTGCAGAGGCTACGCGGCAGGGAAGATGTTGCTGGTTAGTTCATCTGTGGTCACTCTTTTAAAATTGCATTGTTTTTTACTACCTCTGTGCACATTGTACTTGTCACCAAAATTGTGTTTGAGTACGTGCTCCTGTTCATGTGTGTTTGTCAGATCTCACAAAATAGGTATTTCTCGAAGGAATACTTTTTGCTCCCCCTTAACAAAGCGAGAAATAGAAAGTCATCTATGTAAAATTGATTTATCTGACAATAAAATCACTCAAATGTAGTGATCATATTTGTTCTTTTTTTTTTTTTTTAATTTGATCATTCTTGGTAACTGAAACATTCTGTAACTTTTGAGATTGCGAATCCTCTTTAGACAGAAGTTTTAAAAAAGCAATTACTTCCTACGATGGGCTGCAATATGATGAATAATGGTGCATCTGGCGGATGGTACTGATATTATTAAGATGAACAGGTGAGATGGCTTTACTAGTTGAGGGACTTGGTGTTGGAGGTGAAACATCCATAGAGGAGTACATAATTGGCCCAGCCAATGGGGACATTGAGGACCCTGATATATCTGCTGATAAAGATCGAATCAAGCTATATGGAACTGAAGAAGGTCTTTCCTGGGTGGCCAGACCTGCCACTAGACAGAGTAGCCTGGGTCTTGTCTCTCGGCATGGAAGCGTAGCAAACCAGAGTGCTCTTGTGGGTCCTCTTGTCAACCTCTTTGGAAGTGTCCATGAGAAACTCCCCGAAACAGGAAGTATGCGAAGCATGCTTTTTCCACACTTTGGCAGCATGTTCAGCGTGGGAGGTAATCAAGCTAGAAATGAAGAGTGGGATGAGGAGAGTGTTACCAGAGAGGGTGAGGACTACCAATCTGATGGTGCTGGTGGTGATTCTGATGACAATTTGCAGAGTCCTTTGATCTCACGGCAGACAACCAATGTGGAAAAAGACATGGTTCCAGCTGCCCATGGAAGTCTTACGAGCCTGAGAAATTGTAGTCTAATGCAAGCAAATGCTGGAGAACCAGTTGGTGGTATGGGGATCGGTGGTGGTTGGCAGCTGGCATGGAAATGGTCTGACAAAGAAGGCCAAGATGGAAAAAAGGAAGGGGGATTTAAAAGAATTTATTTGCACCAAGAGGGTGTCCCTGGATCTAGGCGTGGGTCAGTAGTTTCTCTGCCTGGTGCTGACGCCCCTGCAGACAGTGAGTATATCCAGGCTGCAGCTTTGGTGAGTCAGCCAGCTCTTTATTCCAAGGAGCTTATGAAGCAGAATCCGGTTGGGCCAGCTATGGTTCATCCAGCTGAAACTGCAAAGGGACCAAGTTGGAATAATCTCTTTGAACCAGGAGTCAAGCATGCTTTAATGGTAGGGGTGGGAATTCAAATACTTCAGCAGGTAATGTGGAGAACCTAACCATAACTTCTACTGATCTTCTTGTTCTATTTCCAGAAACAGCTCAAATAACCCTTCTAGCTTGTGCATGCAGAATTATGAATTCTGTTATCTTTTTGTTTCGCATCTTAAAATCATTTTCTTATGGCTGTATTACAACCTGCTTTACTGTTCTAAGAATACTGAATTAGTCAGAGGTTAGATACAGTTTATAAAAACAGATATTTTCAGCTTTGAAATGAGAACTTTATTTAGACCTTCAGAAATAACATTCCTGGAATAGAACTCATGGCACTGCATTTTGCTCTTCAAACAGTAAAGTCTGAGATTGAAGATGGCTGCTACAAACAGCCTTTTTTTTTTTTTTTTTGCTTTGATAGCACAATCTTGTTTAACCTTATACACAAAAATATTTCAACAGAACACCTGCCACCTACTTTTACCCTTTACTGGAGCTGATGCATTAACGTTAGTGGGGTATAGCGTTGACGATCCTTCTTGTCTTTGTCCTTTTAAAATGCAGTTCTCTGGTATAAATGGCGTTCTATACTACACTCCCCAAATTCTTGAGCAGGCAGGAGTTGGAGTTCTTCTTTCTAACATGGGCATCAGTTCATCTTCTGCATCACTGCTTATCAGTGGTATTACAACCTTGCTGATGCTTCCAAGTATAGCTGTTGCAATGCGACTTATGGATATAGCTGGTAGAAGGTAAATTTATTCCCTTTTTGAGTTCCCTTGGAATGATAAGAAGTCTCAAGTCAACCGAAAGCACAAGATATCTTTTGCCACAACGAATATAAAAATTTTGGTTTTGTGGAAATTGGTTATCCTTTATCCTTGCTTTTTATACAATTCTCTAGGCGTAGTTACAGTTATTGTCTCAAATGTGCCAATATTTATAATGGTGGATTTTGTTAATTACTGGTGTCCATTTGATAGGATAGAAAAAGAAGTTGTTAGTTTTACAACTGCTATTTTTCAATTTCATTAGACGATGCCCTGCCTACTAATTAAGCATCACTGTTGAGTCAGGTTTGATTGATGGCTTATGTTCAATGTGGTTTCCATAAAAAACCACCAAAGTTTGAAAATTTTGCCCTCTATTAAATGCCAAGTCTATGAGCTAGTTCTAAATGGAAATCTACATAGTGAAATAGAACTGAGCAATGCCAAAACGGGTTATGGTTATACTGCAGCAGTACAGCTAATACAAAATGTTAAGTCTCTACTTTTATCTTTTATTTATGACTATTCTCCGTTTAATATGAGTTTTTGACCTTTTGTAATGTTGTAAATTAAGCAGATATTTGCTTGTATTACCAATTCAAATAAAAAAATGTATTTATGCTTCGCGGCACCGAGTGCCTCGTAAGAAATGCTAACTCATCCGTATCCCTTGGCGGTCCATTCTTGTCTTGTTTGGGTCAGTGAATGTTATTCATGGTGATTGGTAGCATTTGCGCTATGTGTTTAAGAATGTAATTGAGTCGAATCGAATCGATACAAAAAAAAAATTTGAGTTCGAGCTTGACTTATAATTCGAGATTTGATACTCGATTCGAATTCGATCGAATTTTATTTTTCAAGCTCGAACTCGATTTGTGATCGAATTCGAACTACTCGAACTCGTTCGATTAAGCTCGATTAATATGTAAAAATAAACTCAATTCGTATATTCGACAAGAGTTCGATTATTTATGTTCGAACTCGAACTCGAAATATTTTATTAATTAAAATAATAAAAATATATTTAAATATAAATACTCGATTAGGCTTGTAAGCTACTCAAATCGGATATAAGAATACTCGAATTCGGTTCGATTGATAAGTCAAATTATTCGAGTTCGAACTCGACTCGATAATAATCGAACCGAATTCGAGTTTTCTTCAAATCGAATCCGAATAACTTACTAGTACTAATATATCATTTACCCTTTTATTTATATCAAGTGATCTTTATTTTTTTTCTACAAAATAAGTTTATTGGGTGTAGCACCAATGTTCGTATACCCAGCAATTTTTCTTTTTCTATTTAATTTGAAATTAATACATTTTACCTATTCTCTTTGAAATCTGAAATTAATGCATACTGTTTATTTTTTTTGAACACTTAGTCTCGTGACACCTCACAGTCGTTATCCTATTTGCTCTCCTTTGGAGTGCTTAGCGTAATCAAACTTTGCCTAGCACTCTACTTGCTTGACTGCTCTCCCTTAAAGTTGGTGTGATCACGACTTTGCTACTATATCTTAGCCCATCACTTTGTTAAGTGGCCCATCCTACCGACCCCTGTTGTTAGGACCCTGTATGTGAAGTCGAATAAGCTGATTTATTGAGATTAATAGCGCCAACGTTTATATGTCCTTGACCTTTTCTTTTCTATTTGACGCGGGATAATTCACTGCACGTGCTCTTTTTTTGACATTTTTGCTTCTGAGTCAGTGTGCAACAAGGCTTACTATCATTCAAGTAAAAAATGAATATTGTAGAAGCTCTTTTAATTTAAAGTTGCAAAGGAATTTGACATTGACATGCTGATTCACAAATTTTCCTTCTGCTTTGTTACTTGATCTGTTCTCATCTGTCAATCTTTTTTCCCTGGTTCCTCTGTTGCAGGAGTTTGCTACTCACCACAATCCCAATCCTGATAATATCTCTCCTCATGTTAGTCATTGGAAGTGTAGTGAAAATGGGGAACGTTGTGCATGCAGCAATCTCAACTGTTAGTGTGTTGCTCTACTTCTGTTTCTTTGTCATGGGATATGGGCCTATTCCCAACATACTTTGCGCCGAGATCTTCCCGACACGTGTACGTGGCATCTGCATTGCTATATGCGCCCTTACATTCTGGATTTGTGACATCATTGTCACATATTCACTTCCAGTGCTGCTTAAATCCGTTGGTCTTGCCGGCGTCTTTGGCATGTATGCAGTCGTGTGTGTTATATCATGGGTGTTTGTCTTCTTAAAAGTTCCAGAAACCAAAGGCATGCCTCTTGAAGTCATTACAGAATTCTTTTCCGTTGGTGCAAAACAGGTTGCCGCTGCCAAGAACAATTGAGACGGTGGTTATTTGATGGATATTGAAAGGTTTGATCTTTCTTCAAATTTTATCTTCATTTCCATTTTCCCTTTCATTTTATCAGGTGTTGGCAACTAGACAGTTTGATTTATGTAAAAAAAGAAAGAAGAAAAACATAATTTGCTTCTCAATTAAATTTTCTAATTCAAATGATGTTAAGTATTATAGATGTTTGGCAGAACAGACAGTTAAAAAGAAAGTATAGACCAGAAATTTTCACTTTTATTTCAGAAAAGGTGAAGAAGTTTGTTGCACTTTGGCTTACAACTATTGAAATCAAAACCCAATGTCGATGGCTCATAATTTTGATTCAAAGCTTTCCACACACAAAAGAAACGGAAAAAGAAAAGAAAACCCAAAATTCTTCTGTCTTAGATCATAATTCATCATCATCTGGGAACACTGTCAATAAGCCTAGCACCAATTCTGTCAAGCCTTTTAACCATAGCTACCGACCTCAAATTCCCCACTTCTAGAAATGCCTCCACCATTCTTTGCCCAATCTCCTTACCCTTCTCTTCATCATCAATCACAGCCACGGCCGTCGGACCCGCACCACTAATCGTACACCCAAAAGCCCCGGCCTTGATCGCCGCCTTCTTCACTCCTTCCATCCCCGGAATCAACGGCGCCCGTTTCGGCTCCACGATCTTGTCCGATGACAACGCTTTCCCCAACCCTACCACATCACCCTCTAACACCGAAGCTACCAATGCACCCGCTTGGCTACAGTTCCAAACGTGGTGTGGCATCCCGACTTCGGCGGGCAAAGCCGCCCGCATTTTCTTGGTGGGGGCCTCGAATTCCGGGCTAACTAAAATGAAAAACAGTTCCTGACTTTTGGGAAAAATTAAGGGCTTTAGTTCTAGAGGTTCGTAACTTTTGATTAGGACGAAACCTCCCATAACTGCCGGAGCGATATTATCTGCGTGATAACCAGACACTTTTGCTTCGGATTCTAATCCCGCAAGAACCAGCTGGTCGACTCCGAGTTTGGCGCCGAAGAGTTCGTTGACCGCCACGGCAGCGGCAGCGGCGGATGCGGCGCTAGAACCTAGACCGCTGCCTAAGGGTAAGCCTTTTTCGAGTTTGAGGGAAAGGCCAAAGGAGCGAATGTTGAGCATTTTCATGGTGGCGATCGCTGCGATGCCAGCACAGTTGAAGAGAGGGTTGGAGGACAGTTTAGAGGATCCGGAGATTTCTGAGATCGACACGTGACCCGGGCGGACAGAAGAGTCGATGCTGAGGGAGACGAAGTCGCCAAGACCATCAACGGCGGCGCCAAGGAAGTCGAAGCCTGGACCGAGATTGGCTACCGTGGCAGGGGCGAAAGACTTGACAGAAGTAAAGAGGGGCTCGGGCTCTGTAGTAGTGGTGATGGTGGGAAGAGAGGCTTTGCATCTAAAGATGGGGACTCCTTTGGTCGTTGATGGATGGAAAGTGATGGGTTTTAGAGGAGATTGAAAGTGGAAGCAGATCGCCATCCAGAAATTACTATGTTGGGAAATTAGGGTTTTTTAGTGAAATAGAGGAGAACAATGGCAATGGCTGCAGAGGTGGGTTTGTGGATTCTGTCTTTTTTAGGTTGAAAGATGCGATGAGTCCAACACTGCTTTCAAAACTAATATATTTTAATTTTAATTTTAATATTTAAAAAAAAAAACATAGTTCAGAAATAAACTAACATATTTAAATTTATTAGATGTTATTATCTTTAAACTAAATTAAGTTCATTGTGTTCTCAATTTGTAACTCATATATAAAATATACGAGATTTAAGTCTGTGCGCCAAGCATAGAATGACAATTTTAATTTATAATAATTTTTTTAAAATAAAAAAATAACAATATAAAAAGAGTTTGAAAAAAAATTAAATTATATGCATGTTTAACAATAACTTTAAAATTTTGATAATAAAAAAAATAATCTTAATAAAAGTTTACTGATTATCAATGCTATAAAATAATTAATTAAGAAAAATGAAACATAAATAGTTGAATTATTAAAATGTAACAACAATTCAATCACGTTAAAACACTAATATGAAATTCAACTTTAAAAAATCTTATGTAACGAAGGAAAAAAATCTATTAATAAAAAGTAACTATAAACAAATTTAAATGGAGTTTTATCATTAAATTGCCTTAAAAAAAGTAAATTTTTTTCATTCAATTAAAAAAAAAAATACCTCACATATGTTAATAAATGCAAAACCTTATGGGTTACAAAAAGTACCTTTTGTAACTTTGCAATTGGAGTTAAAAATTGAAAATTTTCAATCCAATATGTTTTTTTATTAGTTGAATTTTTATTAAAATTTTGAAATTAAAAGTCGATTAAAAGAAAATGAAAAAAAATTGTTTGCATCCAACATAAAATAATCATTATAAAAAAAAAACATGTTAGGGAATAACTAAATTTATCAATACTATAAAAGACTTGAAACAAAATTATTAAAAAAAATAAGGCAGAGAAATTGTTAATACATTAAAAATTGAATTTGTTAATTGATTCTAAAATAAAGAAATTAATAAATCAAAATAAATACTTATGTAACACAACAAACAATGGCATTTCAATCGATCAATAAAATTTAATGAAAGAAAACTATATATTTAAATAAAGTAAAGGAGATCATTATATTGTATGAATATATTTACAAACATATATCATATAAATCAAATAAGAATCAAAGTATCAGATTAAGGAAATTGGCAACTAAAAAAATACTAATAGGAATTTGAAATTTTAAGTTAAAAAAATAGTTTGTAGAGTTTTGAGGTGATAGGAATAACAATACATACTCTTGATGTAAATTTTTTTATTTTGACACAAAGGTGAAGGTGGATAACTATTAGGGTATAAAAAATTGAGTTTAAGTCAATATAGTATTAAGCTTAAGCTCGACTTAAAATTTTCAGCTCGAAACTTAATTCAAACTCGATAGAAATTTTTTTTTTTAAAATTTGAGCTCGACTCGAGATAAAAATTAAGTTATATGAGCTCGCTTGATTTAGCTCGATTAACATATAAAAATAAGTTCGATTTTTATATTCGATCAAAACTCAATTATTTGTGCTCGAGCTCGAACTCGAGTTCGAGATATTTTATTAATTAAAATAATTAGAATATTTTAAAATATAAAAACTTGATTAAATTCGTAAGCTACTCAAATCGGATATAAGAATACTCGAACTTGATTTGATTGTTATATTAAGCTACTCAAACTGAGTTCAATTCAATAATAATCAAGCTAAATTTGAATTTTATTCGAGTTGAATCTAAATAACTTTTGAGTACTAATATATCATTTATATCTCTAATAACTGTAAGGTAAACATAACCATATGTTGGCTAAGATATCTATAGTAAGAGAAGGCCTTAAATATGTTATAGTTAACTACGTAAGAGATGGATACAAAATTTTAGTTGATTTTGTAAAACAGGCTATTTCTAATACTCATATTGATAATATATGGCAACCCAATAATCTTATTTATCAAGATAAAGTAAAATATAGATTTTTTTCTTTGTTTTTGAAATAAAGTCAAATGTAAATATTAAATGCTTGTGGTAAACTAACAATAACATTAGAATTAAGAGTAATTACACCAAAAATAATTCAATTTGTAATAATAATTATTTAATATATAAACACTTATAAAATTATAAAAGTAATGAAAATCGAATCAATGAAAATTTTTATTTACACTTGGACATAATTAGCTCCATTTATGGTAAATGGAAAATAGGATCAATATATCCAAAGCTACTTTTAACAATTTTCATTTACACTTGAATAGTAATTAGCTCCACTTTTTGGTAAATAATGAAAATGATAATATCAAAGCAACAAACATATCTATTGACTAAAACAAAACAAAAATCCTATCTTAACTAAAATCATTTCATGCAAAAATTTTAAAAAATATTTAATACATATGATATGATAGGTGATGGGCAATCACTTTCTTTTAATTTACCACCTAACTTGCTCTCTTGTTTCATGATTCAAAAAAGAAGGATTATGAAGATTTGGTATACAAATCAATATCATAACAAAAACTTACAAAAAAATGTAAAATAACATGTACAAATATATTTATAATTTAAACTACAATATAACTAAAAGCAATAGCTAAAACATAAAAAAAAAAAATCCAATTCATTAAATTTTCAAAACATTTTACTTAATTTTCTTAGAACCCAAACAAATTACTTTAAAGGGAATGTATTTTCAAAATGATATTTTAAAAAAAATTATTATATGATTACAATGAAACATAACTTATTATATGATTACAATAAATCATGAATTTGGAAGAGTTTCACTTAAAAGAAAAAAATAGAATAGTAACTAAAATAATACAAAACCAAACATAAAGTAATAAAAAACTTTAAGAAATAATTGATTAAATTAAACTTTCTACATCTAACCCACCTACATATATAACATCACAAAGAATTGTCCATATAATCCACATGCATATATAACATCACAAAGAGAAAAAAAAGAACCTAAGCTATTTTTACTACATGGCAAAAGGAATATCAAGACAATGAGAAAAAAATATTGAAATGATACAATCAATTTCTTAATAATCCCGAAATACATTTATTTATAAGATGGGTCTTGTCGTCTTAAAAATAATTATGGAATGAGTCGTAATTTTTGAATGACTAATTGATTAAAATGAATTTACAAACTAAATTAAGATCAATAATAGTATTTAAATTGAGAGCAATTTATGCTTGACAATTATAATAATCAAACATAATGTGTATTAACTTGTTCGAGAGTTATGGAAAAAAAAAAAGAGTTTGAAATTAGTGTAATAATGATAATGAAATTCATTTGATATTATATATACCAAAATTAATTTTAATTGTTTAATCATCGATTAACTATTTCAAAATAATATATATACCTATTAAATATATACGTTTAATAGGTCTATATATATATATATATATATAAAACATAGCTTATATGATGGAGTAAATAAATAGGTTATAGGTTAAAAAATTGGCTATTGAATTTTTTTTTTTTACACAAATTTAATTTAAAAGTTGAATATTTACAATTGAAAAAGAGGTGACAAAATTATTTTATAATGATAGCAATTAAAGTTTTAGTACCCTTAATGTGAATTTAATTGAAAATGATTTAAGATAAATAATACAACATAAATGTAATTAATTTATTAGAATATACATGATAATTTTTTAAAATTATCCACATGTCAATTATATAAACAATCCATATTAAACAATTTCCATTTTTGTCAAAGGCTTTCGCTTTTATATATTTATATAAGACGATCATTTTAGTAGTTGTAGACAGGTGTGATAAATATAATTTAGATCCTTTAGTCACATATGCTGCATTGGCAATCTCAAAAGATCCGTAAGAGTACTCTAGGGCTTTATCTGCTGCTTCTACATAAAAAGTATTTACTGGTTAAGTTACCAGTAAATCTTCTTCTTTTACCACACATGTCAGTTTTTCATCAACAATGAATTTGACTTTCTGATGCAATGAGAATGGAATGGCACTTGCCATATGAATCTATAGCTTACCTAATAAGTAACTGTATGGAGGGGAGATATCCATAACTTGAAATTTCACGTTGAAAATGCAAGGACCAATTTGTAATGACATTTCTGTATCTCTTAAGACCTTTTTTCAAGTCTCATCAAAGGCTCGAACTACTATATGACTAGGCTTCAAATAAGATCCATCAACATGTAGTTTTGCTAAAGTAGTCATAGGCATAACATTGATTGATGAACCATTGTCAATCAAAACTGTAACCATTATATGACTCTTACATTTTACAGTAATTTAAAGAGCCTTAGTACTTTCTCGCCCTTCAAAAGAAATCTTTTTATCACTAAAAGAGATGTAGTTTAAAATTATCAAATTGCTAATAATTATTTCACGTATTCAACATAGACATTATGGGACACATATGTTTGATTAAGCACCTTCAGTTAAGCATTATGATATGACTCTAAGCTAAGCAATAATGAGAATAATGAAAATCTAGTTGGCATCTTGTTCAACTGTTTTACCATGCTATACTTGCTATGTTTTGTTAGCTTTAAAAATTTACAAGTTTCACTATCAGAAATTAGCTTCTATTATCCTTTATCTGATACTACAATAAGATTACTCTGACTTTTTTCTTTTTTTTTATTTTTGCTTTTTTTTTTTTAGCTTTCTCTAGTATTTTCAAAATATATCATTTCTCACTTTGAGTTATACCTTTTATGCCCATTATGTTTACAGTATCTGGATTAACTACAATATCACAATCATACTTTCATGATACTGCTTTATCATTATGGTATGAAAAAAGGCCAAAAACTTTAATTGTCACTACTGGTTGGGAGATGGGCTTTTTTAGCCTTGGTGTCAGCTTTTTATCATAGCAAATAGTTACTAGTCTATGCATAAACTTATTCTTTGAATCAATAGTAGACACTTCAGCTTTCATCAACTATTCTCTTTCTCGTAAAACTCTATCTGACCCACATCCATTAACTTTTGTACCTTTTAATGAAATTGGTCACAACTTTCGATAGAATGTCTT